TGTGATTAAGTCGGGCATCAAATGATTGCAGATTAACCAATAGTATATATTTAGCTTTGGTTAATCTGCAATCGTTTAACATCCGATTTAAACATAAGTATTAACAAGTATTTGACTGTCAAATTTTTGTTTGATTGTGCCGAGCACTATTTTTGACACAATAATTGTCACAGATAATATACTATAGTATTAGGTATGAGGTGATTCATTTCTCGAATTCATTATATACTGATATACAATTATATAGATATTTTTATATATTCGTTGTCATTTTATATACATTGTTGGCATTTACAGAATAAAGCACGGATCATTTTTTATTTTATTTTAGTGCATATAAATAAAAAATGGGTTTTTTTTTGTTTTAAATATATAATTAGATAATTATATAATCTGATAAAAATTATATAATCTGATTTAAAATATAGCGCTAAACATAATTGGTAAAGATTAATAATAAAAAAATTCCCAGCAGAGAACCGGAGCAATGGGCTGGGAGCATCAAAATGCCAACATTGATTATATACCATATATATATAGATACTGAGTTACTGTAAGAAGGGTACGTACATTTTATCGTTATTGTGTTTTAATTAAAAATCTCAGAAAAGGAAGTCAAGGAGTTGATCTACGTATAAAAAATAATCTTTGTATTAATGGCTTTTTTTGATTAAATTATTTTTATATTAACTAAAAAGTTCATAATGAGCACAATCAAATGTAATGCTTATTGATACATATTCCTTATAAATAAATTCATTGTATATTAAGACCCTTTAACCTTTTTTTCTGCAAATACTTATGTACGTACGTTGTATTGATTATACCGTTTTATATGCTGCATGTTCATGTGAATTTAGTAAATAAAAAAAAAATTCAAAAAATCCATTATAGGATCTGAATGAAGATCAAAAAGTAAAGAAGGGAGAACTCCGAGTTTGATCTTTTGCATCACAAAGATTATGCCTGTATGCTATATAAAAATATGCATAGTACATCATTGAGGCACAAAGCTCGATTAAAAAAAAAAAAATTTTTTTTCATTGTTAGTTTTGGGTTGGTACGTATGTACAATACATTAACAGCCGAACAAAGAAATCGTTGATCTTTTTTTAGGATTTCCTATTGTGTGAATTTTCGGTTTTGATATAAAAAATCAACACTTTTTTTTTTAATCGACAAAAAGAATTTACAGAATTTGCACAAAATTATCTCTAAAAATGCCTTCTGTTAGACATCAAAAGTTTAGTACTCAAAATATTTCAAATGGTGAACCCCTTAATCATATACTTGATCATATATCCGTAAAATCCCGATTTGTAAAAGATTTTGGTGGGGAAACTTTACATGCTGTATGGACCGATTATGAAAAAGAATGCAAATCAGACGTCCTAGGAAATCCAAGATGTACACATGGCTTGGTTGCTGCAATCCTTCAAGGTTTGTTAGTAATATTTGATTATTTTAGTATATATATTTATTATTACGTATTATATTATCGCATTACTAATTATTATTGATATAGCTTATTCTTCTAATCAACATTTACGAATTTCTCCTGACGATATTTGGTTAACTATTGTCCAAGGTGTCAGTAAACACATCAGTCTTCATTCTGAGAAATACCGTTATCGTTTAGTAAAACACGAAGGACAAAAGGAAGTTCAAATATCTGCTAGTGATATTCTTGATTCAAATGATTCTTCAATCAATGGTGATTGGCCAGAACTATTCAGACGTATCATAGCTGCAACAGATGAGCAAGTTGGAAAATTCGATATGAAAGCTTTATTAAAATGTGATTTCTCTACTAGTACAACTACTTCAGAGATAGCGAGTGGTGTTGTTCTATTAGATGTAGTTAAACCTTTCTCAAATTATACAAATTCTACAAAATATGGAATTTCAAAAATTACTTTGGATGGTTCTTTAGAAGACTGGAATAAACTTCAAGAAAAAGTTATCCAATTAAGAAAAATTAATTTCGACTTAGACTTTTGGCTTGATCGTCTTGATCCTGTTATTTGGCAATTTGTTGCTACTTATCGTGGTGAAATCGATAAAACCTTTTGGAATTCTATTGCAACTGAATTAAATTTTGATTCAAATGATCCTAAGCTGATAGGTTGGATTTCTTCATTTTTCCCATATGGACGTGATGGTAAACCTTTAGAAGGAAATTGTATTCGAACTTCTGATTTACCTGATGGAAGAATTGCTTTACCTTTTGTTACAACTTCTGGTTTTTGTTTAAAACTTGTTTCCGGTTTTGTTGGTGCTCGACAAGAATATGATTCTGACGATGATATAGTTGTATCTCCGGTTATTGGCTGGGCCGTTTGCGGATTTAACCCTTCCGGATAGACTTTCACAAACGAATTAAATAATTCTTTAGAAATTATACCACTTTATATTGTACATAATCAAAATATGAATTAAAAAGTGTTTGTAGTAAAATTCTGGCTGGTGGTTTAATAATATTTAGATATTTTACTAGAGATTATTAGAGATTTTCATTTTATTTCCAATTAAAAAAAACATTACCATATTTTGTGTATTCTCACTGAAACTTTTTGAATGAAATACATAAAAATTAACCTTATTTTTATATCATGTTTTTTCTTTGGTTAAACTATGCATATAAAATTTAAATCCATCATTTTATTTTTGTATAATAAAAACTAACATATCTGTTTTCATGCTTTTCTCAAATTAAAGCTTAGAATTTTACCTAATTCCATTTTGCGATATTCATATATAAATAATATCAGAATGATCAGAATGGATTTGGTTTTAATCCTGAGCTGAGTTGGATCGAAATTTGAGTTAGGTTAATTCACCATTTGTATTTCCAGATTATATCTTTATTCTCGAATAAATATGCGATCTCGTAAGTTTACCATATAAAGGGATAATGATAAATAGAATTCTTCTAATTTTAATCGGTTCTAACAGCGAAATCTTTTTAGCAAAATTTATTAGACTTGTAACTAGGGTCCTACTGTAGACTACGTACTGTTCTAGTATATCAATGATATTATAACTAAATAGAACATAAACAAATTAAACTTCTTCACATCATAACGAAGCCACATCTTATTTTTTTTTCTCTTTTATTTATTTTGTTGCCAACATTTTCTTCTTGCTTCCTTCTTTGCCGGGCTCTTATTAGGCCTATTTTGGATTTATTAACAATTGTAGTGACAAGCACAATTATTGTATTCCTTTCATTAAAAAAAAAAAAAGCAGTTGTTTACACTACAAAACAATTCCAAAAGAAACAGTTTAATCCTTAATAAATATGAGAAATTACAAAAAAAAAATAAGAAGCGTAGGAACTTCATAGTATAATCAGAGGTCTTTTCTTCATATATAATAGAAAGATTTTACCTTTCCAAATGAGATTTAATCGCATTATCATCTTCATCCATCATAATCGCATAATTATGCTTAATGATAGTTATAAAATTTATAAAGTCTGCTTTTGTTAATTTAAAAACTAAATAATAATCTTATAAATTTAAAAGACGAATTAACCAACAAAATTGATCTTTAACGCTCAATACTCGTCGTGAAGGACCTCGAACAAAAAACTAAAAAAGCCAAAAAGTGGATTTTTGAAAACGTTTTCGCTAATAAAATGTGAAGAGAAAAACTTTTCTTTTACTGCAAAAGAAGAATTAGGCCTTCGATAAGGTCTACATTTGATGATTCAAAAGCATTAACGAAGAGCGTCATAATTAGAAGGGATGAATAAAAATGTTTTTATGAAAAAAACAAAGTGATTTTACAAAATTACATGATGAGAACCTTAACACAATTTACCCTTTTACTGGAAAACACCATTAAATGGAAACACATCAATCCAACAATCAATTATTAACGTTAAATTGTAATAATTATATTAAAGATCTAAAAAAGGTACGTAAAAGAAAGTGCAGCATAGAATGTTTCGATAGTTTTTTAACTAACGCCTATAAAAAATGCATAACCGTTTTGACACTCGTAACTTCCTCTAGCTCGCAAAAGATTCGCTATTGGGATAGTGAGTGATCTACCAATAAACGTCTACAAATATTTTATTGACTAAAGGCCAAGAATTATTCACAGAAAGTGAGTTATACTTAGAAGGTAACAATATACTTTTCTTTAGATTTATTAATCGTGGCAGACTTGAGAAGAAACTAAATCAGTACAAATAAATTCCTTTTCCACCTCTTACATCCAGTGGGACGACACCTGTTTCAGCCTAGGCTTTGACATGGTTAGAATAACCGAGGACCTAAAGGTTTCCGAAAACTATCTACAATAAACTTTTAGATAATCAAACAAATTTCGTTGGATAAAAAAGGTTGTGTAGCAGTGATTTCCAATAAGAGGTAAACAATCTCAAAATAACTCCAAGGAATTTTTTACAATGCGGTATTTTGAGTTACTTAAAACGCCTTACTTTAAAAAAGAATCCTCCATGGTTTCATTAAAATCTACCTGGCGAAAAAAAATTTTGAATGAACACAATCAGAATTTGTACTAAATGTAAGGATTTTTCTATTTAGACTTCAGCTTGATTAATTTGTGTCTTTGATACCGGCGTATCTAAAATCATACTGCCCTATTACATCCGTATATAGCTGAATATACACAAGCACTTCGAAATAACATACAAAGCCTATAAAATTGCTATCAGCTATCCTATCTATAACCGAATTAAAACATTATCTTATACATACTACTTTTGAATCTCGTTATATAGAAATAAACTACCTTCAAATTTTAATCGAAAGTGGAGTATAGATCATAAACAATCTTTTCCAAATTTAAATTTTTTGGATCAATATATTGTTTATATGGGTTACTAAATATATGATTTGTAAGTACTTATAATCTATTGAGTGTATATTTGTATTAATTTATATTTTACTCCAATATAAATTAACATACACATACATAACAAAATTCTTGTCTTTCTTTGTAACCTGCAAACCGCAAATATAAATACATTACATTACCTCTTAGATACTTTTATATAGTCTTAAAATAAATCCATATTTATATATGGCTATGAACATTTTACAAGTTACTGGATATGGTGCCTTGCACGCTTGATTCTTGCTTCAGATCCTTTTCTAGTTTCTATTGAAGATTTTGTGAACTGGATTAAGTAGATTTGAACAAATACATTTCAACTCTAGCTTTTAATATTTTGTGTAATTTTGAATTGCCTAATTTGCATAATTACAAATCTATTTAAATGCATATAATTATTTTTCTGTCAAAACTCTATCGCTATGCATTGCAAATTATTTTAATAAAACTATTAATTATAGTTTGACTTCAATTTCTTATTTATTTTAACTTTTTATTCAATAAAATGGGTTGAAACTTCAAATATTGATAATTCAAGTATTTAATAATAAAATATTAAGGGAACTTCCACTTATTATGTAAATATAGCCCCCTAGAGTCAGTCGTTTGACACAATCATTTGACAATTACAAGTTCTAAAATAATCAATCGTTTGACAATTACAA